ATTTCAATTGAATTAGAAACGTATTGATGTTTCTGCTTAGGAACTTGGATTGACATTGGATTGATTAAAATTTTAAAACCTTTTGTTTATGTTTAAAAAAGTATTTAATAATTTCTAAGTCATGTCTCGGATTAAAATTCGGGGCATTACAAGATGCACATGAAATAAACAAGAGAAACCTTGATAAGCTAGTGGATGATAGGGTGTCAGAGAATTGATTAAGGGTCTAAAATTGAAAGAAGGGGATAATTATGATAGGCCATATATGATTGAGAATACTAATGGACCAATATTGGCAAAACTTAACATATTATTGAGAATACTTATGAGTCAATTTCTGCAGCGTTGAAATTTACTTCTTTTGATTGATTGGTGTTTTGACCATTATTCATATTCTAATACTAGAATCAATATTTTTAATAATTAATTATTGTCATCCCAGTGGGAGATTGCTAGACTAATTATTTAATTAATCAAATATGGATTGACATAATTAATTATTAATTAATTATATTATGGTCTATTGTTATTAAACAGATGAATTGTTTGATTGCGTTTTGTGTCTGAATGGACCGTAATGGGTTGGACCATTCAGTTAAGCCCAATGAGAAGTCTCTGCCCTTAGCCGTTTAGCTATTTAAGTGTCTCCCCATTAGACAATTAAACTACTCTGAAAATCTTAAACGGCAATGAGGATAGTAATTCTCTCATACTCACAAGCTTCGACAACCGTCTTTTCAATCTTATAAGGTACACCGTTCTAATTATTCTTGATTATTGTTAGATTAAACAATATACTATAATTTGTATCTATTAAATTCATTTAAATCCTTCATAACACTCTAATGCTGAAATCTATTTAGGGTTTGAGATAACCGTAATGAAAATGAAAATTTGTGTATCTAAAAATCTTTTATGAAAATATTTATATCTCAAATTTGATAAAATAGATGAAATAAATGATGTGTTATTGAATCATTGACCGACGTGAAGTATAATGAATATCCCCCTTTGCCCCCCGACATAGAATCAAATATATATGTTAAATTGAAAGATAAAAAAATTTGTTTAATATTAGAGTTTTTAATTTTGAATTTAATTGTTAAAGTAGCTTTTTTTACACATTAAAAAAGCATGGCAAAAGAGCACCATAATAATTGACAAATAAAAGAAGAAGAAAAAAACAAAAGAAAACAAAAATGCGAGTGAAGCATGAGTTGGTGGGTTTGGGCGGCGAATAGCGAATCGGTGGGTGGTGGGTGGGTTAAACATATTCCTTCTTTTCAATAACAAACAACTATATTATTTATTTATTTATTACGCCCAATAAAATAATAATAAAATATAAATAAATAGAACCTAAAACCCTTCACTTTCTCTCTCACTTCGTTTTTTCCGCTTCCATCTCTAACAAACGCAACCACCATCTTCTCCTCTGTAAGGTCTTCGATTTTTCATCTCATTTTCTTAATCATTATTATTATTTTTTGTTTAATATAGATTACTATTATTAATTTACTCTGCAATTTATCTCAATTAGTATGTTATACCTCTTCATCAAACCTTGATCAGGGTTTATCTTTTTTTTTTTCATGCATTTTTCATGAATCTGATGATTTTCTACCAAATAGTATCTTCATTTTTTCATTATATCCTTTATGAATCTATGTATTGTTAATTATTCTTGAAACAAACGAAGAAATCTCCATTTTTTAAAACAAAAATCCCTTTGAAGGGGTTTTGGGATTTGATTTGACAGCTCTAGGGTTTTGTCATTTTGTGCTTATTGTTTTGTTTTTTTTTCTTCGTTTTTTGTTATTGTGCTTGGCTGGGATTTTGATCTCGCTGGAGATTTTCCTGCAAAGACACAATCTTTCATTGTTTTGTTGGTTCGGGCACATTTCATATTGAAGGTGTGCCGGTGAGGTAAGTATCCGGTGTTGAACATCAATAAGTTCGATACACAGCCCTCGACAACGACATGCTTGGTTACTTCCATTACTTTAATTTTTTAAAATTATTATTGGTGCTTTGTGTTGCGACCGGTGTTCGTGTGTTTTGTAGGGGCAATTGAGAGTTACTATTGGTGCTTTGTGTTGCGATTGATGTTCGCGTGTTTTGTAGGGGGCAATTGAGAGTTACTATTGGTGCTTTGTGTTGCGATTGATGTTCGTGTCTACATCCATGTTTCGTAAGGGGAAATTAAGTGATGTTTTAGAGTATATCTTTAGGACTGATTATGAAAGAATTTTTGTTTTACGAGCAGCTATTGGTCATTAGAATATTGGCTTTGAGCATATAATGAGGTCATTTGTTAATTAGGATGTTTTGATTGTAAACTTGGAGTTTCGAGTGAAGAGCAGAGAGTTACAATCTTGCCTCTTCTCATAAAGCTCCATAAAACAATAGCCGTTTATAAAACAGGAATGGAACCAATTTCATTCTTTGTAAACTTATATTGGCTTTGAGCATATAATGAGGTCATTTTGTTAGTTAGGATGTTTTGATTGTAAACTTGGAGTTTCGAGTGAAGAGCAGAGAGTTACAATCTTGCTTCTTCTCATAAAGCTCCATAAAACAATAGCCGTTTATAAAACAGGAATGGAACCAATTTCATTCTTTGTAAACTTATATTGGCTTTGAGCATATAATGAGGTCATTTTGTTAGTTAGGATGTTTTGATTGTAAACTTGGAGTTTCGAGTGAAGAGCAGAGAGTTACAATCTTGCTTCTTCTCATAAAGCTCCATAAAACAATAGCCGTTTATAAAACAGGAATGGAACCAATTTCATTCTTTGTAAACTTATATTGGCTTTGAGCATATAATGAGGTCATTTTGTTAGTTAGGATGTTTTGATTGTAAACTTGGAGTTTCGAGTGAAGAGCAGAGAGTTACAATCTTGCTTCTTCTCATAAAGCTCCATAAAACAATAGCCGTTTATAAAACAGGAATGGAACCAATTTCATTCTTTGTAAACTTATATTGGCTTTGAGCATATAATGAGGTCATTTTGTTAGTTAGGATGTTTTGATTGTAAACTTGGAGTTTCGAGTGAAGAGCAGAGAGTTACAATCTTGCTTCTTCTCATAAAGCTCCATAAAACAATAGCCGTTTATAAAACAGGAATGGAACCAATTTCATTCTTTGTAAACTTATATTGGCTTTGAGCATATAATGAGGTCATTTTGTTAGTTAGGATGTTTTGATTGTAAACTTGGAGTTTCGAGTGAAGAGCAGAGAGTTACAATCTTGCTTCTTCTCATAAAGCTCCATAAAACAATAGCCGTTTATAAAACAGGAATGGAACCAATTTCATTCTTTGTAAACTTATATTGGCTTTGAGCATATAATGAGGTCATTTTGTTAGTTAGGATGTTTTGATTGTAAACTTGGAGTTTCGAGTGAAGAGCAGAGAGTTACAATCTTGCTTCTTCTCATAAAGCTCCATAAAACAATAGCCGTTTATAAAACAGGAATGGAACCAATTTCATTCTTTGTAAACTTATATTGGCTTTGAGCATATAATGAGGTCATTTTGTTAGTTAGGATGTTTTGATTGTAAACTTGGAGTTTCGAGTGAAGAGCAGAGAGTTACAATCTTGCTTCTTCTCATAAAGCTCCATAAAACAATAGCCGTTTATAAAACAGGAATGGAACCAATTTCATTCTTTGTAAACTTATATTGGCTTTGAGCATATAATGAGGTCATTTTGTTAGTTAGGATGTTTTGATTGTAAACTTGGAGTTTCGAGTGAAGAGCAGAGAGTTACAATCTTGCTTCTTCTCATAAAGCTCCATAAAACAATAGCCGTTTATAAAACAGGAATGGAACCAATTTCATTCTTTGTAAACTTATATTGGCTTTGAGCATATAATGAGGTCATTTTGTTAGTTAGGATGTTTTGATTGTAAACTTGGAGTTTCGAGTGAAGAGCAGAGAGTTACAATCTTGCTTCTTCTCATAAAGCTCCATAAAACAATAGCCGTTTATAAAACAGGAATGGAACCAATTTCATTCTTTGTAAACTTATATGGCATAAATTTGTAACATTATCAACAACATTGGTATTAAATTTGTTTTAGGATTAAAATTTGTTTCTTACTTAACTACATAGTAAAATAAAATCTTTTTTCGTTTTATATACCTGCAAGCACACAAATGATAGTTGAAGGTTTTCACTAGTATTTTTGTCTTCACCAAATCTTGAACTCTCCTTTAACCATTAGCTCAAACCAGTTAAGCTACCCAACCCATGAAATAAGCAAAGGTAAGTGTTAGAAACTAAGACCTGGCAAGCAAAGCAATAAATACTCGGAGATAAGTGTTAGAATTTAAGACCTGGCAAGCGAAAGAATAAAAGCTTGGACTTAACTGCTACTGTGGGAATAGCCACAGTCTGCTTTTTTCTTTCTTTTCAGAATTGGTAATCTAAGGGTGTAAATTGATTAACACTTCTCGCACTCTTCAATAATTGAGTTTCTTTTTCAAAAGAACAAGTGTCAAAGTTATGGCAATCAAGCATTCTTTGCATGTTGAACATGTGTGATACGACATTGTAATAATTGTATGGCATGGAGATATATAAATTAATTTTCAGATGCTTCTAAGAAATTGTCTTGTGATGATTTGAAATGATTTGAAAGCGAGTGTTACAATTGGAATTCTGTTATCAACCAACACTTATCTCTAACCTTAATAGGTTTAGGCATAAGATTAGTGCTATATCTCTCTAACAGCAACCAACACTAAGAGTTAGCCTGATAGGTTTAGGCATAAGATTAGTTTTATATCTCTAACGCCAACCAACATTTATAGCTAACTTGATAGGTTAGGCATAAGATTAGTTGTGGATACTATGGGTCAATTGGGTTCCCAATATTTTATTCATGATTATATATAGTCTATTGGCTCTTGTTGTGCATTGTATAAGTATAATAAAAAAACCACTTTATTCTGTTAATATAAATTCTATTATATTGATTTATTTTCAGGGAAATAATGGCATCCATCTCAACTGTGAATATTTCGCCACTATGCATGTTTCAACCCGCAAGCCGCGTTCAATCACCCAGTGCTACCGTAGTGAAGTGCCCTCCCTCGTTCGGGTCCACGAGAAGTGTCTCCAGTTCTTTTGGCTTGAAGTCATCCTCCACTTATAGAACAACTGCCATGGCTGCTTACAAGATTAAGCTAATTGGACCAGATGGAGAAGAGAACGAGTTTGAAGCCTCTGATGATGTCTACATCTTAGATGCGGCAGAGAATGCCGGAGTTGAACTCCCTTACTCGTGCCGTGCTGGAGCGTGCTCTACTTGTGCAGGAAAGGTTGTTTCTGGATCAGTGGATCAATCTGATGGCTCATTCTTGGATGATACTCAACTTAAGGAGGGCTTTGTGCTTACCTGTGTTTCCTATCCCACAGCAGACTGTGTTATCGAAACTCACAAGGAAGGTGAACTCTACTGAGAAATGGTGGCTTGAAAGTTAAAACCGTTGCTCGAGGAAACTGGGAATATAAGGTAGATTTTATGGCGGATTTTGCTTTAGAATCTATCTTTCTTTTAGCATTATTAATAGTGATATGGGATAATGGATATTTGTTTGTGTGCAAGCACTGTAGTTTTTAGAAGATGGTAACTTTGACATTTAAATGGGATCAAGGGTGTTATTTTAGTTATGTAGAACATAATGAAGTATCTGAAGGAAGAAACAACCTTTCATAATGGGTAGAGAAAGTTCACACTCTTTAAACTGATTTCCATTGAAAATAAACAAAATCTATCTTGATATATCCATTGTCAATAGCTGCTATTTTAACTTGCCTCAACTTATTTCTTTAATTGAAAGATGTGGCAATTTTCAACTTGGGAATAAGTTGTCCTAGTTTATTTTGTTCAGTTGGATAAAAATTAAGTTAAATCTATAAAATATAACCTGCATAACTCAATTTAAATAGTAACTATTTCTTGGATACGTATAACAGTGAAAAAGCGTGCAAATCACACAATTTGCAGATTTGGTACTCATTGATATTACTGTCATTTGCAATGTTAATGTTTACCTATTATAGACATTTTTCTTCCCAAACTAAATTTATTTTCACAGCTTATAAGCTATTTTTCCATGTCAGCATCTTTGCATTTAATTATGGGAAATTTTGAAAAAGGGCTAAAATATAATGATTTCGAGCCACAAATCAAATTTAAGAATCTATTACTAGTAAAATAAGTGTTAACATATTATACCATCCACTAGGATTAATTGATTTATAATTAATTTTATAAAAATTAAAATATTTCAACACTATGTTACTCCAAAAATATAATGAACATGTACAATAAATTGTTTTTGAAAAATAAAAAATATCTATAGAATTTAGAGATGCATATTTGAATGTACGACAAACACATTTGTTTGTCAACCATCTTCAACCAAGTCTTAAGTCTATCCAAATAATAGTTACGAAAATGTATCTTGGTGTAAACACAATACAAAAAAAATGAAGTAAATAATAGAATATTCAAGAGGCCTGTAAGGATCAAGAGAAAAGACGAGTGAGCCGACTTGAAATTTTGGCATTATAAACACTAAGAATATCTTGTAGATTTCTATTTTTTGGATCTTCAAAAAAGACTGGAATCATAGGATTCACTTCAGAAGTTTCAAACTTTCTATTACACATATCTGTATTTCAAATAACCAGTATTTGAGTCTTTTTGTTTGAGCCGTACGAGATGAAATTTTCATATACGGTTTGAAGGGGGTCCCTTGGTTTACCTATCTCAATAAAGTCTATGATTGGTTCGAAGAACGTCTTGAGATTCAGGCCATTGCCGATGATATAACTAGTAAATATGTCCCTCCTCATGTAAATATATTTTATTGTTTAGGAGGAATTACACTTACTTGTTTTTTAGTCCAAGTAGCGACGGGTTTTGCTATGACTTTTTATTATCGTCCAACCGTTACGGAGGCTTTTGCTTCTGTTCAATATATAATGACTGAGGCTAACTTTGGTTGGTTAATCCGATCAGTTCATCGATGGTCAGCAAGTATGATGGTATTAATGATGATCTTGCACGTATTTCGCGTGTATCTCACTGGTGGTTTTAAAAAACCTCGCGAATTGACTTGGGTTACAGGTGTAATTTTGGGTGTATTGACTGCATCCTTTGGTGTAACTGGTTATTCTTTACCTTGGGACCAAATTGGTTATTGGGCAGTCAAAATTGTAACAGGTGTACCCGATGCTATTCCTGTAATAGGATCCTCGGTGGTAGAGTTATTGCGCGGCAGCGCTAGTGTGGGACAATCTACCTTGACTCGTTTTTATAGTTTACATACTTTTGTATTACCTTTACTTACTGCCGTATTCATGTTAATGCACTTTCCAATGATACGTAAGCAAGGAATTTCCGGTCCTTTATAGAGAATATGAATCATAGATATTTGTAATAAATCATTTGGGGGAGGAGTAATAGTATTTCATTGCTACAAATATGCATTATTTTTTTTGAATAAGACATGTATTTGGATATTTCCCTTCCACTTAACAAAATAAATTGGATTCTTTATTTGACATACACGAATAGTGGAAGGGAACTCTCCGAAAAAAGAATGGATTATGGGAGTGTATGACTTGAACTATTGATTGGGCCATGCAGATATATGACTTCATCTTATCTGCCACATTTGAATTCACAATTAAATGTGTCTTTGTTCCAACCACGGCGCCAGTCCTCTACAGAGGATAGTCAGTCCGGTTCGCTTGAAGAAAATATTTTCTATGATCAGACTCGATCATATCTTGTGCATGAACAGGCTCCGTAATATCCAGTAAAATAAGTAAAATGATATAATCTAAATTATGTAATATGTATTTCATTAAACTTAATAGTATGGAAATGCATTCATTTCCTATGCATTGACTCAATTTATGATACTACCTGAGTTAAACAAGTAGATCTAAAGAAAAAGCGGGTTGTATTATATTAGTAACAAGTAAATCCTTTCTATGTCAAAAATTTCGAAAATTCTTTTTTTGAGGTATACCAGGCGAAAGGTTTGAGATCACCCAGAAAGAACTTTGGATTTTGAAAACTTACTTGGGTGAAAAGCATTTATTTAAAAATAAGAACTGAATTTTTTGCATTTACAATGGATAGTTGTAATTTCGAAAAAAAAAACAATTAAATCCATTTTATTACATATTATTACATAGAATCATGATATATGAGTGACTAACATATAAAGAATTTCTATGTCTGCATTCAGTTTGTTTGATTCGTGCTCGAGCCGGATGATGCAAAATTATCATGTACGGTTCTTTCGGAGGATGGATCTATAAGAATTCACCTATCCCAATAACAAAAAAAACCTGATTTGACGGATCCTGTATTAAGAGCGAAATTGGCCAAAGGGATGGGTCATAATTATTATGGCGAACCCGCATGGCCTAACGATCTTTTATATATTTTTCCAGTAGTTATTCTGGGTACTATTGCCTGTAACGTAGGCTTAGCGGTTCTCGAACCATCAATGATTGGGGAACCCGCAGATCCGTTTGCAACTCCTTTGGAAATATTGCCCGAATGGTATTTTTTTCCCGTATTTCAAATACTTCGTACCGTACCCAATAAATTATTGGGCGTTCTTTTAATGGTTTCAGTATCCGCGGGATTACTAACAGTACCTTTTTTGGAAAATGTTAATAAGTTCCAAAACCCATTTCGGCGTCCAGTAGCAACAACCGTCTTTTTGATTGGTACCGTCGTGGCTCTTTGGTTGGGATATGACTAATTATTTAGAAAGGTATGAAATTTGGAATCAATTTTTTTCTACTTGTTCCTGAAGTAAAAAGAGTTCCATCTGTTCCTGAATAGCTTCCTTCAAAATGGCTTCTGCTTCCCCAGTAAATGTCTTGGTCGAAGATATGATTTCGTTGAATTTCGGTTTATTCGTTTTTAAATAAGCCCGTAACTTAACGAGAAATTTCCTTACCTGTTGAATTTCTAATGAATCAAGATAACTATTCGTTCCAGTATAAATAGTTATTATCTGTTCTTCCACAGTAATAGGAGATGATTGGGATTGTTTAAGCAACTCGCGCAATCGTTGACCTCTTGCCAATTGATTTTGCGTAGTTTTCTCAAGATCGATAGAGAATTGTGCAAAAGCTTCTAATTCTGCGAATTGTGCTAATTCCAATTTTAATTTACCAGCGACTTGTTTCATGGCTTTTATTTGAGCCGCCGATCCAACTCTGGAAACGGAAAGACCCACATTAATTGCGGGTCTGATCCCAACATTGAATAAATCGGCAGATAAGAATATTTGACCATCTGTAATGGAAATGACATTCGTAGGAATATAAGCTGAAACATCTCCGGCTTGGGTCTCAACTATTGGTAAAGCAGTCATACTTCCTTCACCTAACTGACAACTTAATTTCGCGGCTCTTTCCAAAAGACGCGAATGTAAATAAAAAACATCTCCGGGATAAGCTTCGCGACTTGGTGGTCTTCGTAATAGAAGAGACATTTGGCGATAAGCCTGTGCTTGTTTGGAGGGATCATCATAAATGATTAAAGTGTGACGTTCACGGTACATAAAATATTCAGCCAGAGCTGCGCCTGTATAAGGCGCGAGGTATTGTAATGTAGCTGGGGAATTTGCTGTTTCAGCCACTATAATAGTGTATTCCATTGCTCCTCTTTCTTGTAAAGTAGTTACTACTTGAGCCACAGAAGATGCTTTTTGACCAATAGCTACATAAACACATACTACATTTTGTCCCTGTTGATTGAGAATCGTATCTGTAGCTACTGTTGTTTTACCTGTTTGTCTGTCCCCAATAATCAATTCTCGCTGGCCACGCCCTATAGGGATCATAGAATCAATAGCAATAAGTCCCGTTTGAAGAGGCTCATACACGGAACGTCTGGAAATAATACCGGGAGCGGGAGATTCAATTAACCGAGATTCCGAAGCTGAAATTTCTCCTCGACCGTCAATAGGTTTAGCTAGGGCATTTACAACACGACCCAAATAACCCTCACTTACTGGTATCTGAGCAATTATTCCTATTGCTTTTACGGAACTTCCCTCTTGTATCATCAAACCATCACCCATTAATACAACACCAACATTTTTGGATTCCAAATTCAAAGCAATGCCTACTGTACCCTCTTTAAATTCTACTAATTCACCTGCCATTACTTCATCAAGACCATAAATACGAGCAATGTCATCGCCTACTTGAAGTACGGTACCTGTATTTACAATTTTTACTTCGGTATTATATTGCTCAATCCGTTCACGGATAATTTGACTAATTTCATCTGCACGAATGGGTACCATGAATATTTTTATTAATTGGATTCTTTTTCGAAGAAAAACAAAAATAGGGCCTCTCCATACTCTCTATTATAGTAGAACCACTAATTAGTTATTTTTTTCTTTGATCG